ACTTACCTATTTTCGTAGCTTTTGCTATGACGATACATAAATCCCAAAGTTACAAATAGAGATTAAACCAATACTTATATCTCAATAAATTACTCTTAAATAGATATACATTTTATACGCTACTAAATAATACTTGTATAAATAATTTTACAATATTATATTTATTTTTTATGTAATTTTATTTATTTATCATTCATAAATAGTTTTCCATTAAGAATACGAAAAAGTCGATTTGTTTTTATTTAGAATCAGCATAAAAATGTTGCCTCCCCGAACCACCCTGTAAATTTAGCCCTGCAAACGTCCGAAACAAAATAAAAACGCATTATTATTCATTTAATTTCGATGCCGAAAATGCAGTCATTAAATCACTTAAGTCGAATAATATAATTTTCTCGTCTAAAACGTTGTATTTCAGCCGGTTTATAACGCAAAATCATTTAGTATAAACAGTAGGGTAGAACGAAGTTTTTTTTCAGATCAAACTTGTATTAGCTCTTAAAATATGTGTATATAAATTAAAAAAATGTGTGGAGTTAAAAATAAATATATTGATATCTGAAAGTTCCTCATTAATTATGAATTTTTACTAAAATAGTGAAAATAGGAAAAAATAGGAAATTTTAACATATTTTTTACAAACTATTATACATAGCGTAAAATTGTTTAGAACTTTAATTTTAGATCTTACTATAGTCTATAAAAAATATATTTAGAAAATGTCTCGTAAATTAAAATTACTCCGAAAATATGAAACAAAAACACGAACACTATTTCTATAATCACTCACAGTGTTAGATTCCACGTTACTCTGCCATTGAGGTCTGTAAAGTGAAAAAAAGGATTCTCTTGGCGAACTGAACAAAAAGTTTGATAACCTTTTTTTGGGCACCTCAATACGTATGGCTCTGGACTATTATGCCTCATATCCTTGTGCCGGTTGTAACATTTTGACTCAGTGATTTGAAAAGTGTTTTTTAGTACCTATTAAAAATACATTTTTTTTCACTTTATTACAATAAAAATAAGTATAGAAAGTTACTTTATAAAATAATATTACAACAATTATGACCATATTAAAAGAAAAATTATATAAATTCGATATGTCAAAAGTGTAAAAACTAACTCTCTCTCCCCTACATACTTACATTAATACGCGGTCGAACGTCAAATTATTATAAACAACTGTCGTACCAACTAACCTAATCAAAATTCTTTCTATTTCCAACTAACAATTATTTTATTTCTTTGGTTGTGCACATAACTATTAAATATACAAACATAACATACTCAAAATACCTATCGCGTTAATATGTTACACTGTACTCGGCTCAGTCATACATTTAAATATTCGTATTCAAAACGAATTTAAACGTACAATAAAAAATAAAAGTAAGATCAAAACCAAACGAATATAATACTCAATCGAATGCATATAATAAGCTGAGTAAAATTGTAGTATGTTATGAGTTCTAAGTATTACTGAAATCAAACGTAATATATATTTAGTTTGTATCTCGATAAATATAGGCGTGTTTTTTTCAATGATAACATTGATAACAAGTCAAAACTCTAAAAAAGAAAAATATTTAAATTATCATACGCAGCTTATCGTCGGATTCAAGAAACAATGAATACATTATATACATAGTTAATGATTCATGAAAAAATCGTAGCCCCCTTCTTCAATGGATTTCAACCAATGTATACATGTTTGTCTCAATGTATTAATTGTGAATCTTAAAAAATGTTATAAACACAAATAACGGCAATTCCAAACAAGCGAACTATGTACATTAGTAGAACTCTAATCTGTAAACAAAGAGGATGCTTTTATGACATGCATAACAGAAACTACAGCTTAAAGTAGTCTGTGGCGATGAGTTATTTTTACAAAAACAGATCAATCTTTTGTCATCTATACCGATCAACGATTAGTGATGCAATAAGAAATTTGAAAACTGATAAGAATTCGTTATTAGGTCTACTCCAGATTGATCGGGATACAACAAAAATTCAATTTCGTTAAGAATAGGCAAGTCCTACTTTTTTTTTTGTGTGCGTTTCATCAGTTTATTGCAATTATTAAGTAAACAATTGGGATATTCGTACACATTGAACAATATTTTCTAAAGGAACGTTCATTCTATCGGCCGAATGCAAACGAATGCGGATTCGGTGATAAAAATAGAATCGAATATTTGTATTTGTATCTGAACGCATTCGTTCGTCATCAAGTATGTTCGTGCGGACAGTGAACGCTAACCAAACGCAACCGAATGTTAACTCTTAACGAATTCGTGTTTTAGTTTGGACACAAACAGTAGTACTCCGAACGAAGGTAAACGAATAGCGAATTTGACTTGATTCGCGTTCATTCGTGTTCGGCCGATAGTGTAGACGTAGCTTAACAGAAACCTTCCGTGATTGTGTTGGTCGAAGCAATCATTCTGGTCGAAATTTTGTTGCACATAAAAAAATTAATAAAATGCATAGATTTAAACTTTTATGTTCCAGATACTTATTGTAGTTTTTTATTTTTATTGTAACATAATAATAATGGTCTTTTATGGTTTATGTTTAATCGTGCAGTTGATAACATTATTTATTCTCGCATTATAACATGTTTACTGTCAAAGAACAACTGATGTAATATTATATGAAACTAATTATTATTATTATTTTTTTAGTTACAAGTGCCCTGAAAAAAAGGTCAACAATTTTTGATCAACCAGACAAACATTAATAACTAAATTATGGGAATGCAAAGGAATTATAATGTACATCAATTGATATGCCACATGGTGAATATTCAAGAGAAAAAAGTGTTTGTTATAAATAATTTAAATCTATGTATGAGTGAAATAGAATGAGCGCAAGATGAAATGTACAACAAGGACGAATGGCAAAAATATAGAAAATGTGGTGTCACAACAACTAACTGCTATAACATGTATAAACTCAGAGCGGACAATTATTGGGCAAACACCATCAAGACCATTGTGTACGATATTTTTCAAGAAAATGCAGCCACTTATCGTGTAAAATGGTTATCGAACATAAATATTCGGTAAATGACAAATATATTTTGTCCATAGGACATTGGAAATGAACCAACGGTCAGAGATTTTGAAAGAAAAATAAATGGATTTTATAATTGAACTTGTACGGTATTCATACGAACAAAAATTGTTTGGCGGCGAATTCCAATGGACTGTGTGGTGTTCACAGAACATTCCGAAATCTTCGTAACGTATAGTCAACACAAAATGTATGCGCGAATGTTCTGTGAAATGAAACTGATGAAACTTTTTAGAAACTCACGATATACTCGTATACATATACGTGTATAGACGTTTGTAGACATGTATTTCAAGGGGTGTCTACTATACTTTTAGGTCCTATATTAACAAAACGTTTAGGTATATTTAATAAATTATAATGTATAAATAATTAAATAAACATTACTTTAATTTTTTATTTAATATTGTGGTATATCAGTTCCAATTAATACGTTTTCCTTAAATCTCGTATATGGTATTTTTCTCAAATAGCTTCAATTATTTATGATTTGTCCTTTTGTAGTTCATCACTACTGTTCATACATAAGCTGATATCTTTTCGTTTTCGCGCAAAAATTTGGAAAATTTAGTTTTATTTTGTCTATTATAAAATATAATTTATTTTTTACTAAATACTTTAGAATAAATTACGCTTAGTCTTAATAACAATACGAGTCTCTTACACTTAGACTTGAATTATAGGGCTCCATTTAAAACATTTCAGGGAGTTCCCGGGCACGCCTATGTATATGTAGCGGCGCGACAACGCTTGTAACGCTGTAATCAAGTAGTAATTTTAGTGGGGTACACGTAGTATGACATACGTTACCTTGTAAATCCAAATAAATACATTTTTCCGGTTTTTAGAATATCGTAGTGTCATATATAATAAATTGTGAAGCACTAAAGACTGATAGGCAAAGACAATTTTATAGAAATGAAGTGTCCCCGGAGTATAAAGAAGTGCACACTCGAAGAAGCTGTTTTTTAGATAAAATGTTGATAAACTATTAGTAAAACATTGCTTTTAAACTTTCAGTGTTAAAATTTATCGTAAACAAAGCTACGGCCGTTAAAAACTATAACTTATAGAATAGGTTATAGTTATAGTTATAGTTATAGTTATAGGGAAACAGTGTTTCCCAAACTTTTTCGACTCACGGCGCCCTTTTTGATCAAAGGTTTTTCCAGGACGCCCTCCTCCAAGTCATAGCATGAATAATCATAAGGAAAATTTTAGACCAGATTGTATTTTATGACGGCGTGGCGCCCCTGTACAGACGGGAGCGGGTCATGTCTTCGAATGTCATGTTTTCGAAGATCATATTTTTGAATGACGAATGTCAGAAAAGTTATTTGTTCGAATAGTAATGTAATCGAAAAATGATTTGTTCGAATAGATATGTGATCGAAAATTTGTATGTAAGAATATTATTTATTTAAATTAAACAATTATATAACGTTTTAAAAACTTATAAATAAACAGTTATAAATCAAGTAATTAAAAATATACGAATATTATTTATTATTAAAAATTTAAATTATATGCGATCGCTTTTAAAAACTCCAATTTACAATAATTAGGACTGTCGTTAATTCGTTTTTGAATTGATTGCAATCTGAGATTGCATTCTATACCATATTTCTTCTTCTTAATCCTTTCAGATCCGAATTAATTGTAGTTGAGAAAAAAAATTAGCGATTCATATATGTTATAAAAGGTATTTGATTAAACTACTTGATTAAGGTTCTCTTCAAGTTTGAAGAGATTCTGACCATCTGGATCAAAGATACAGCTATGCACATTATAATGTCCATTGGGCCAATATGGAGATACTTGCGTGCACATTACAATGTACATTGGGCTTCCTAGCATAAAAAATTATGCACATTATAATGTGCAACGGGATTTAGGTGATAAACTTATTGTTTCAAAAACTATACAATTTCGTTTATTTGATCACCAGATATTAACATTTTAATCCGTGATTCTGTTTCAGCTTGAATTTTTTGTACAATTGTAATAAATTTGTGAAGTCCTGAATAAAATATATAAATTTAAATATTTATAATTTGTAATATGATTTATACCTGGATGAGGAGATGTAAGTCGATTTAATTTTCTTTGCCACGATTCAGCTGTATTAGTTGTTCTCGAATGTTCTAATCGAACACGATTGTAAACTGACCAAATATCTGGTTAAAATAATGGAAAACTTTGTGAAGGCACATTCTTAAGCTTACCCCTTGTTCTCATACCAATTTTTCCAAGTACGTAAGTTTCTTCAAAGTATGTTATTAGTTTTTTTTTCTGAAAAATAAAATATTGATGTTCAATATATTATTTCGTTCATACGACTTTTCGAACACATATCTATCCGAACTAATCATTTTTCGATTACATTACTATCTGAACAAATAACTTTTCTAACACTCAAAAATATGACCTTCGAAAACATGACATTCGAAGACGTGACCCCCACCCACACAGACCTGGCGACGCACACTTTGGGAACCAATGGGTTATGATAATAATTATTATCTTGAAAACTAAATTAATATGTATAAAATATTATTTCAATCTTAACCCTTTCAGTCCTGAATTATTTTTTTATAAAAAAAAATTTTTTTTTGTGATTGTTGGATCATTTGGAGTATTTGTTATGTATATTAAAAATTTTTTGAATCTTGGACTTCTGGTTAATAAATTATAGTCATGGCATTGTACGAGGCCACTGGGCGTTAAGGTAGTCAACATTTTGTCGTTTATTTTGGTACAAATCTACAGTTTTATGTATTATTAACAAAATAACTAATAAGTAAAACAATAACAAGTTAGTTTAACAAATTTATCAAATAAACTAAATTAAAATTAAAGAAATAAAAATTTAAATACTAGAAGTATTATACTATTGTGTGATAATCATGATAACGGTGTTTCCAAATTCGAATATTTTGATATCACAAACGCCCAATGGCCTTCCCGGAGGCTAAAAAATAAACACATGTTATGCACAGTTTGGTAGTTCAAAGTACATTTCGACTATTTGTCGTTAATCTTATACATGTTATCATGGAGATTACAAAAAATTTTTATAACGACATTTGTGCGAATTATCAACAATATTCAAACTGATAACAATGAAATTCAAAATATTTTTTTTAAGTATGATTAAGTCTTATAAAAACAATTTAAACATGAGTTTTTACATTTTCAAATTGTTTTACACAACATTTTACATATTATTCGCCAATAGATACGTTAATACCGTTTATAAATTATTTTATATCAATTTATGTACTTCATGGCGTTGTGGAAGGCCAATGGGACTGAAAGGGTTAATTAATTTAAATTTCAATAGATTAAACAAAATTTAATCTTGCTAGGTTACATAGATTTTTATACTTAAACTTGGCAACGATGGATAATTCAGTTAGTATTATATATATATATATATATATATATATATATATATATATATGTATATTATGTAAAATATTAATATTTTATATTTTATTATATATTAAAATATATAATGTATCGAGATTTCAGGAATAGAATACTTTGACATTTGGATATTATATATCAAGTATATTTTTCTATAAAAATCGCTATGCAAAAAAGAATACGTCTTTAATATATTAGTGAATAATGTAATTATTTTATTACAGTTACACTCAACAATTTTTTAAACATTTCTTTAGTCACATTATATAGTAATTTGTATTGTGTAAAAATATATTTATTCTAATTTAGAAAGTTTATCAAAATTTATTTTCAGTCTAGTTTAACGTTATCATGGAAATAGTCCATCATCAAATAATTTATTATACTCATAATTTCCGTACTTAGATTAGTTTAAGTGTGTACCGCACTTAAATTAGTTTTAACGTAGTTTATTACTTTTATGCTGTGTTGCATGAACATTTAATGATAACGACTTATCGCTTATGTACAATTAAAACCGTTCTTTAAAATTGATAAATAAAATACTAATAAAGCGTTATCAACTCGATAAGTTATAGGTCTGATTTAAGATCTGTAATATATGCAGAACCGTTTAAGATCCCTTTTCATTTAGTTTAAAATGTATTTAAAATTGTTATTTATTTAATTTTGAATAATTATTAATTTTATTTTATTTCTTATTATTATTGTTTTAAGACATTTTAAATTTAAACTATTAATTGTTATGTCCTCGTCTGATGATTCCGATGAAGACATTATTCTTCAAATTTAAATAAATCTCCCAAGACCAAGGTAGTTTAGAGATAGGTCAAATCCGTCAAATAACAATTAACAATTAAATTACCAAGATATGCTTATCTCTTCGAAAAAATAATAATATTGATAAGAATAATATTTGTGTACTACTTCATACCTGACAATTGATTATAACCTAATTATTCGATACAATTTTAATACTTTCATGAAACGAAATCTGTTCTTTAACTTCTACTATTTTACAATCGATATATTATCGACTCAACAGTTTATCGAATTGTTTTCGTGTAACCAGGCATTAGAATCGTAAAACCAAATCGTATAAATGCTTGTTGATACTTCAGTAGAAAAAAAAATAAACGGAATTGAGCCCAAAACTTTTGGATGTTGGCATTTGATCGGAACGGAATTATCAATGAAATTATTTAGATTTAATGAAATCTGTGTTACAGTATAAATAATTCGTATTCATTATATTTCTCTTTGTCTTTATTAAAACATAAGTTTATGATTCTTGTCGGAGTATATTATTTCTCGGATATGGTATTGCAATACTCATAACAACGATTGTACGCAGTCTATCGGCGGAATGACAGACTTATAAAACGTGTACATTTTGTTTGACCATCATTTATCCGCCAGATGTCACTACTAAGACAACAAAATATTTTATGATCTACCGTTTTTTTTTTCATTTCATGTCACATACATTCTACGGTGAAATGTAGAAAAGAGATATTTTATTTAACCATGGCGTAAACTGGTGGGGGGGGGATTAGCGATAATGTTTTCCAAAATTTATAAAATAGCCTTAAAATTGCCAAATAGTTCCGTAACGTGCGAGTGGAATTTTTCGACTACGTTGTTACGCTGGTGTGTACGCGCCTTAACGTTATGTACGTCCGTGTTACCAGGGGCGGCTTCAGAAGGAGGCCTAGGGGCCGTGGCCCCCTCCCAAGCTCGTACCGTATTTATAAAAAAATGTATATTGTTAAGAAAAAATGCATATTATAATATGTACTAATCATACGACACGCACAAGTATGTAGATTGAGCCATAGAGGTATGACGGTTAAAAGGAGTTCTCCACACTTCGGAGACTAAAAACCTGGGTTCGTTCAATGATGACTGAAGATAGACTATCAGTATTATGTCTAATTAATGTATATCATAAACATCAGAGGGCGCTTGGGAAGGGGCTTAGACCTCAAATCGAAAATTTGTAAGAAATGTTATTCGTTGTTTTTATAATTATCTGTTGGTTTTTTTGAAAATCTTAAAATAAGAAATAATAAAAAACTATTTTCAATAGCATTAACAATACCAATTAGTTCGGCTACTTGTGAAAGAAGTTTCAGTGCAATCAAAAAAATAAAAACTTGGCTAAGGTTCAGTGATCTTTTAATACTATATATTGAAAAAGATATATCAAAAAATATAAAAAGCGATGATATTTTGATATCTTTGCTGATACAAATAGATATTTGTCATTAAAATAAAACATTAATTATTTTTAAATATACGTTATTTAGTGTTTTTTTTAATACACTTTAAATATATCTATATTTTTAATAGTATCAAGTTTTACATGTGCACGAGAAGGGGGTGTGGGGGCGAAGCTCCTGCGGGTTATTTTACATTGAATTATTATAGCCTCCCCCCAAAAAAAAAATTTAACCAAATGTCCACCTATGATCATAAAGTAGATATTCTAGATCAAATAGATAATATTAATGGTATTTTTGCCAATTTTAAAAATAGGCGACTTGAATTTGTATTGTAAAAATTGTTGTTTTATTTTTGTTATAAGATTTTGTAAAATTATTACTTGGCCCCTTCCCCAAACTAAGACTTTGGAGCCACCCCTGCGTGTTACGGTATCTATTTAATACAATATCTGACTTGTGTACAGAAAAAATGTGAAGTCGAGAAAATAGATAGAGATGTTAATCTCAAACTATTTGCGGATAAACAAAAAAATATTATGCTGAAAAAAAAAATGTCATTCACTATTTAATAGAATTTCTAATGTTATTGTTAAATAAAAAATATTTAGAGCCTATGTACTGCCTAATTCGTATTCTTAAAATACATGAGTGCTTTGTGTTTGCAAAATACAAATACGAGGGGTGTGGAGGCTAAACAATCCGCAAATATGTTGTACTAAGGAGTAACAGTAAGTTGCGTCCCAATGTACCTTTTTGATGTAAATTGTGTCCCGGGTATTTTGTAATAAAATGTATATTACCAATTTACAAACAATATTTTTCTTCCCATTTTATCAGGCTTAGGACTGTCAATATTACTGTTATAATGTTGGTATGGTTAAAAATATTTATTGTTGTATTTATTTATTATTATTTAAAATTGCATATTTTTATCGGTACTAAGCTGTTAAATTGTTCTTACTTTGTCAATTATTAACTTATTCAGTATAACTTATAAGTCTATATAAAAGTAGGTAATAATTTGAATGACAATTGCCTCATAAATTCAATTTGAGTAATATTTTTAGTTTCTAATTCTTCTATTTTTTTTTTTTTTTATATATCCTTCTTCTTCAATTGTTATTCTATTTCTTGAGCCCTGACTTCGTAACGCTATATAAGTATCGATTTATATATATTTAAAACATCTATACAATTATAAATATTAGGGTGAAAGGAATTAAATGAACTATTTAATTTTCTATGGAAAGATCCGCAATTGTTAGTCGTGCGTAATGTCGATGATAAATATTCTGACCATATTTCTGGTGGAAAGTCAGCGTCATTTTTTATGTATGAATCTAATACATAGTCTGTGAATTCTAATACTTCAGCATCTTGCGGTTGTATTGCTTTAATGTCTACAGTAAAACAGTTTTCAACATCTTGTGGATTTAAGAAAGGAAGTCCAAAAAAGAGTTTTAAAAAATTACTTATTTCTGTATTTTTTTTTTTTTTAATCGGTACTAAGCCCCAATTGTTGAATCTTTCTGTGCCAACTTTGTCCTAGGTGGAATCTACGACCCTTTACTTGAATAGAAGGCCAGACAACATTTGCAGCAGTATGTATAGCCTTTTCAAAATCGACATACATTCGGACTGGGTTGAATTGCATGTCATTTTTTTTTACATTCTTCTACTAAATGTTGAAATGCATAGGTATAACAATCAGTTGACTTTGATGACAGTAAAAAAATAAACAAGTGGGATATAATTATTATTTAACCTACCATGAATAGTAATAAGTTGATAAAATAATTTTGGGCAACTTTTGAAAGTACCGTCTACAAATATCGTGTTCAAACTGCATAAAGCTTGTAAATTACGAATTGTCAAGAAACCTAATATATTTGTTTCGTTATGATTAACTAACAAAAAATCTTCACCTTTAATTGTTTTAAATTCCATATTTTTTGAAGTCTCGTGAATTTGTGTTAATGAAGTTGGTAATTTGGGTAACTTTGAATATCGAGCATTGGGTATATTTCTTTTTATTGATAAAACATCTCCAGAATTTATATTTTCAATATCATAATTTTTCAATTCAGAATGTAAAATTTTCGATAATTGAACAAACATGTCATCAACTGCTTTTCGATTTAAATTGTTACTAATTTTTGGTCTAGTTAAAATATTTTTCGGTAATGACTCATGGTTATGTTCATTACAAATTTCAATTTCAGTACCAATAAGACTTTTAACTATTAATTTTGCAAAGCACTAACATGTTTTGACGGTGCAACACCAACGTTCAATATCATTTTTTAAAAACTTGCGAAAACGAAACTTATAACAAGAAATCACTTTTAATGATTTATTTTTTTCACTGTGCATTGTATTATTTATTTCATTATTTATCACGTTCATTTTAAAAAATCTTCACGTGAATTTGTACTGAACTAATACGTGTTTGTCGTAAGTAATTTTACTACAGTAAAATTTAATAAGTGGAGAACCAGATATACTCTTTTGATACGAGTCGTTATTATCCAGCCATAAGTAAAAACATTATTAATGTTAGTTTTACGGATTTTCTGTCGGACGCAACTGATAGACACGACAGAAACACGGGCCGCAACTTACGTATATACCTGAGAAATATCGGGCCGCGACTTACGTATGTAATGTTATCTTATGTATGTTATCGGAACCATTTTTTTGGGACGTAACTTACATTTACTGATACTTAAAGTGCATGTCCTCCCAGCATATTTACTAAGCCAAACATAAGCCTATGCATTTACTGTCGAATTTAAAATTATTAAATTGTAAATAAATGTCCAAGAACCAATGGATTCATGTATTATTGATTTCAGTTATTATTAAAAAAAATTATGATAGTTACTTATTTTACTCTATCTGTATTATACTTAGGGATCAAAGACTTATAAAATATAGTAATAATTAAACGTTTAAATCGTTCACATTTGCGTACTGCATGACGTATTAAAAAAATAATCGTAAATAATAAAATTGTCCAAAAAAAATATCTGACCCAGTACAATAATTGTGACCAAAACCGAACCGCAATTTCTTTTGAAGCTGTCACAACAATCACGTTTATCCCACAATAATTGGATTTTGTAATTTTCTAAATAGTCTTCAAGGGTTTTATCGTTAAAATCTTTAAGTTTTTTTAAAAAAAATAAATATTTATCGATATACATATATACAGTTACAGGATTAATTACATAAAAACGTAATTGGACTTATTTACTTACTACAAGCAAAGGTTGAGTGGGAGGTAAAGAGTAAATTATGGTAATTTTATACTACATTATGTTGATAATATTGATTTAATTTACTTGATCTAATATACAATAATAAATAATATCAAAGAAATATTAGATCTAATTATGATATATCAGGGGCGTATTTAGACTTACTTCTAGGGGGCGACTCAAATTTTTTCTTTAATTCAGGATTAAAATGTACAAGTAAAATTTTAGTAATATTTAAATCAGATGAATCCTTAATATTCGTGGTTTTTTTTTTAATCTAATGCCGGATCCACTTAGAATCGAATTTTGTGTAGTTTTTTTTAACACCTGTCTATGTTTTAAAAGTTACGCTTGCGTTTTATTTGATTTTTCACTAAGTATGGACCCGACCAAAAGCCCAATTCAGTATTTACAGCTACGTGTAATTTGATTTCATTATAAAATGATTCACATTAAAAAAATTTGAAATGTGAATCTCACATATAATTCAATTTAATATTCATTAAATATGGATTCAGGGGGGGGGGCGACCCCCCCCCTCCCCCCCCCCCCCCAAAATACACCCCTGTGATATATATAGCTTGCATATAGACTATAGATCACATAATAAATAATTTAGATATACAAAATGTACTGTATCTCAATTTTTTATAAATTATGATTTAAATGTTGTTTTAAACTCATATTATTTGTCACGCGTTCAAAATTGTTTTGCATTCACAAATGTGTTTATCCTTGTGATTGTGAGAACTCAATTACATTGTTTGTGTTCACTTTATTTTAGTTACGTGATAATTATGATATAACTAAATGTATATTATGTAGGCAGTTAACGAAAACTCGTTTAGCTACTATGCAACCCAAATAGCAGCATTGTGTTGTACAATACATTTTTTGTTCGTATAAACGTCATTGGAGTCTAATGGAACAAAGAAAACGGTAAATAAATTTTTACTTTTAATTATTTTAAATACAACATATAATAAAATAACATATTTTCTGGGTTGATCATGATGCAAATGTTGATAAATATAAACTATGTTGAAAGCTATTGGCTCTAAAATTTAAATGTTCATAACAAGTGATTTTAACTATAGTAATTGTTTAATTACGTAGGTACAATGCCATAATGTTACAAAAGTAAAACAAAAGACAAATAAGTAATTAAATCGGGCGTCGTTCATAACCGCACACTTTTATATCTTAATCCCACATATGTCCGCCAAATTAAACCGTTCAATGCCGCACACATTGATATACATCAATAACGAATAAATTTATCTTTAATTTAACACGAGGGCACCTCAAGACCGGGTGGGGTCACTCGCTCGGATAATTAAAAACGAAAATATCCCCTGATATGCTGGACAACCCCCCCCCCCCCAAATAGGTCACAGTATAAAAAAACGATTATGAGTGGGAATTATACGAAACGGCAACGTGAACCGTACATGCAAAGTATGCAGGGAGAAAGAAATGTTAAATGTTAATCAAATGTGTGCGGTTTTGAACTATTGACCTTTCAAATTTCTCTTTTTAAAAATAAAATAAATGTGTACGGTATTGAACGATGTAAAATGTGCGGTTATGAACGGTAAGTGTGCGGTTTTGATGACCGCTGATTAAATCACATACTATATGAAGTATATAGAAATCATAAAGTTTGTGATATTATCAATGATCTGTTGATCTACATAAAGTTTATAAATATAAATTTTTCAATTATAAACAAATTGTTCTAATATATTTTAAGATATACTAAATCAGCGGATTTTTATATACATGTACCACAAACACATTTTTGATATTTTCCACGTACCATAACAAGAAGAACATTTTACTTTACCTATCAAAAAATAAAATATTCACCTTTATTTTAAATACATGGAGACTTTTCTTATTAAAACTAAATAGATATTACCATTGCCGGATTTTGTTCTTTGGGAACCCAGGTGCAAAAGTTAATTTTGAGATCCCTATCGACAGGTATACCTAAAGGGAATTTGAGAATACTCAAAAAGAATTTAACAACAAATATGTAAAAAATCTTTTATTTAATATTGAAATTATTTGTTTTTTAATAATTATGTGTTTTTTTATAATTATGTATATAATATTCATTATTATTAAATTTTTCTAATTTTTTAATTTTTAATTTAAAAATATGGCCACTAAACAGGCTTACTGCAGGTACTTACTTTTTTTATTTTTATCTATCAATAACAATATGCACTGTGCAGATTTTGTATTGTTATTATTTTGTAAAATTTTCATTTTTCTTGTTTGAATACCACTTTCAAACACTCATTTGGACTCTTTTAATAATTATATAATAAACTAACAGGTTCTTGTTAGTTGTTATTTTTGTCTTAGTTATGATTCAAAATTCACAAATCATATAATCATATTAATTGAGTCAATCACTCATAGAATTAAGGATCTGTACAATAAAACAGATACTATATTTTTATAATAATTATACACATTACACCATACAGGTCTAAAAATTTGTCTCACAAATTCATAATGTAGCACGAAATACGAAAGAATAAATTGTTTATTGTAACATATACCCATACACATATATGTGTGGTATCATCGGTAGGTAGGTGTAAGAGGAAATCAGACGAAGAATTTGTACGTTATTATTGTGATTAAAAATAGATTTTTGGTGGTCAAAAATGGAAAAATAAATTGAAATTAATAATAATAATTAGAACAACAAGTGTCCTAACGTTAGGCAAAATCCACTCAAATCAGTTGTATCTCTGTGGAAATAGCTTGAAAAATCGTGTACTTAGGGTACACTGTGATTTTTAGGACCATTTCAAAATAAATATTTTTTCATAATAGTTAACGCGACAACAGAATGGTTAGAAGTTTTTTCCGTGAGTTCTATGACGACAGAAATTGTGAGAGGTAAATTTTTCGGAAATAATTACGTCCGACGGTGCAAAATATTTCACTGGTTCCATATTTCAATCGTATTGCACTACTCTCTGGATAACACATGTGACAGGCACACCATTCCACCTAAAATCAAACAGTTGTACTGAGTCAGTAATAAAAATAAGTAACATTTTTTTTTTAAATGTTCGACATCATTATCTCAAATTAATAAATTTCTTTTGGTGTATACACTCCATTCAATCATGCACGAAACGTCGGCTTAGTTGTTTAATCCAGTGGTTTTTCAACCAGGGGGTTTGGGGATCGACAAAAATATTACACGAAATGATTATATTATTTAGAAATAAAATAAGTTAATTATTTATTTTGCTCTATATCTATATAACATGCCGAGGTGCGTAATCTTATCGAACGATAGCGAATTATTAAATTGTTCGTAACTATTATCGACCATATACGTATATTTGAACGTTCTCAATCGTAA